AAGTTGGCCAAGAAGAGGCTTGGAACCCACCGCCGTGGAAAGAAGAAGCGTGATGAGATGACAGAAGCCGTGGCTGCCATGCGCCGCAAGGGCCATTAGAAGTCTTCTGAGTAGCTTCAATGACGTTACTTGTCGGCTTGCGATCAGGCATAAAGGAGTTCCTCTTTGTGTGTTGAGAGCTTGGTCTGAGCACGAGTATTGAAGCGGGTTTGAACAAGCTTGCCTCATGGCGACATTTTGGCCTCAGATGAATTGGGATGCAGACCTCTTCATTGGATTTGACACAGATTTCTTATTCCCCAAACAGTTTACTGTTATTCCCCAAACAGTTTACTGTTAGGGGTTCTCAATGCTTTAAAGAATGGTCGCCTTGGTGCTGGATGGTCTGGTCGGGTTCCCGGCCGGCTTGTCTCCCACTTCCTGTCATTTGTCTCCCACTTCTTTTCATTTGTCTCCCAAGCTCGGTGCTTGTGGTCGGGTTCGCGGCTGGCTTGTCTCCCACTTCCTTTCATTTGTCTCCCACTTCTTTTCATGTGTCTCCCAGTTCTTTTCATTTGTCTCCCAGGCTGGGTGCTTGTGGTCGGGTTCCCGGCTGGCTTGTCTCCCACTTCCTTTCATTTGTCTCCCACTTCTTTTCATTTGTCTTCCAGTTCTTTTCATTTGTCTCCCAGGCTGGGTTCCCACTTCCTTTCATTTGTCTCCCACTTCTTTTCATTTGTCTCCCACTTCTTTTCATTTGTCTCCCAGTTCTTTTCATTTGTCTCCCAGGCTGGGTGCTTGTGGTCGGGTTTCCGGCTGGCTTGTCTCCCACTTCCTTTCATATGTCTCCCACTTCTTTTCATTTGTCTCCCTGGGTGCTTGGGGTCGGGTTTGCGGCTGGCTTGTGTCCCACGTGCATTCATTTGTCTCCCACTTCTTTCATTTGTCTCCCAGTTCTTTTCATTTGTCTCCCACTTCTTTTCATTCCCCAAACAGTTTACTGTTAGGGGTTCTCAATGCTTTAAAGAATGGTCGCCTTGGTGCTGGATGGTCTGGTCGGGTTCCCAGCCGGCTTGTCTCCCACTTCCTTTGTCTCCCAGTTCTTTTCAGTCGGGGTTCCCGGCTGGCTTGTCTCCCACTTCCTTTCATTTGCCTCCCAATTCTTTTCATTTGTCTCCCAGGCCACTTCCTTTCATTTGTCTCCCACTTCTTTTCATTGTCTCCCAGGCTGGGTGCTTGTGGTCGGGTTCCGGGCCGGCTTGTCTCCCACTTCCTTTCATTTGTCTCCCACTTCTTTTCATTTGTCTCCCAGGCTGGGTGCTTGTGGTCGGGTTCCTGGCTGGCTTGTCTCCCACTTCCTTCATTTGCCTCCCAGGCTCGGTAGGCTGGGTGCTTGTGGTCGGGTTCACTTCCTTTCATTTCTCTCCCAGGCTCGGTGCTTGTGGTCGGGTTCCCGGCCAGCTTGTCTCCCACTTCCTTTCATTTGTCTCCCACTTCTTTTCTGCTTGTGGTCGGGCTCCCGGCCGGCTTGTCTCCCACTTCCTCTTATTTGTCTCCCACTTCTTTTCATTTGTCAGCCACTTCTTTTCATTTGTCTCCCAGGCTGGGTGCTTGTGGTCGGGTTCCCGGCCCGCTTGTCTCCCACTTGCTTTCATTTGTCTCCCGGTTCTTTTCATTTATCTCCGAGAAATGCTTCATTTGTCTCCCAGGTCCGTCATGCCATGTAGCATTTCTATTCATTTGTCTTTGTCACTGCTAATTTCCGCCCTTTTCCGCTGGCCATGCAGCATTTCTATTCATTTGTCCCCCAGGCTTGTCACTGGTGGTGTCCGCCCTTTTCCGCTGTTTCTATTCATTTGTCTCCCAGGTCTGTCACTGTAGGTGTCCGCCCTTTTCCGTTGGCCATGTAGCATTTCTATTCATTTGTCTCCCAGGTCTGTCACTCCCAGTGTTTTGTCTCCCAGGTCTGTCACTGCTGGTGTCCGCCCTTTTCGTCGGCCATGCAGCATTTCTATTCATTAGTCTCCCAGGTCTGTCACTGTTGGTATCCGCCCTTTTCCGCTGGGCATGCAGCATTTCTATTAATTTGTTTCCCGGGTCTGTCACTGGTGCTGCCGTTCATTTGTCTCCCATGTGACTTCTTTCTTTTTGTCTTTCAGGTTTGGTGCCTGCACTGCTGTTTTCTGCCCTGTCCGCTGGAACAGGTTCGCCTGTGAAAGGTTCTTGCTCCTTTGCAAGGGGTGCGTGACTGTCTCCGGGATTGCATTCCTGCCACACTGTGTAACTCTCTCAGCTTTGTTTTCCTTCTCGGGCAACCGTTGGATGAATGACCGGATTGGATTTCGGCGGCGTGGCAGCGATCTCTCTATTCAGTTGGGGCGGAGGGCGTATGTCAGGCACCAAAAATCAATTTCATGTCACATCCTTCGCTCCTCATGCTTTTGTTTCTTGTCCTCACGTGGTCAGCTCCCCGCTGACTGAGCAGCATGACCAGCATCATGTTCGCGCTTGAAGAATAATTCCCCAAAAGGTTTACTGTTAGGGCTTCTCACTTCTTTCTTAAGATGTGTCCCCCCGCTCTGTACTGCTGTGTCCGTCTCTGCCTTGCAATCCTTTACATTTATCTCCCAGCTCTGGACGTCGCAAGCTCTAGTTTCGATTTTGAAAAACACAAACTGTTTGGGGTCTACGGTGGTGTAATTTGTACTGCTGCCAGTACCAATTTACAATTTCTATGAAACCATCGCTATCAATGAAACTGAGCATGTAGTTGATTAATCTTGTTTAGGCCAGGCATGTCTCCAGAAAGTTGGCCGGTGTGACTGATACTGATGCTTATAGTGCTTCTGATTGGTGCAAATCAATGAGCAAGCCTGAAGCTCAGACATAATTGCTAACGAAAAGCCACACAACAAGGTGTGGAAGTTGTGCCTTTGTTAATGACACCAAGGCCACGCAACCACAGCGAGTGGGATGCTATTGCCAAGACATTTGATGTAGATGGGGATGAGGCGAAGATGTAAACAGGGATTCCGCGATTTAATTGTGTATTATATATATATTTATTATGTATGCCTTTTGCTTGTATTTTTAAACCTATAATCACTTATGTTTTAGACCTTTAGATTTTGCTCCTTTCGATTTTTCTTCCTGCCCTCCTTAAGCTTATTTGCATGCCTATTTCATGGAGGACTCCTTCATCTGTCAGGAGCCCACCAAGTGGCCTGTGTGCGAAGAAATTCCTTGGCACCAAGTGGGGTGCCAACCCCAGTGCGTCAAATTGACTGGTGTCCAAAACTACACGCTACCTTGCAGCCACTCCACTTGTGCAAATGTTCTATTTTGCTTCAGCGTGGACGTCAATCTGGCAACCATCAGCAGTGCCACCAGCAGCGCCACCACTAGTGCCTCCTTTAGTGCTTATTGCTCTCACTGCTACTTATTCGGGACTGCTTGCAGCTGCCTGTAGCCTTGCAGCACTGCTACCCTTACATCTCAAACCGTGTAGTGTTTCAAGCAGTCAAACTTGGTATCCAAGCGAGCCTGAAATCCACCAAGGCCTTTAGTTGAAAGGGTTCTGGATGAGCACTTTGGTCCAGAGCCCGTACAGAAGGAGGTGAAACCATGTGTCCGAGTCTTAAGCATATGTCCTACTTCATAGCCATGACATGTTTGTTCCAAGTGATCTTGTGTCGCGTTATCCTTGAGAAAAAACAATGACTGGTCTGGGATGCTGACTTGGCAGTTTCCCTTTTACTAGTCTTGTTTGTGGAGAAGGCCAAAGTGCCGGAGTAAAATAAAGCGGTGGTAATCCTTTTGGGTGGATAGGTGGGTTTAAGATTACTCGGTCCCCATTTTGGCTCAAGTATGGGTCCAAAACCACCTACAAAGATAAGTGGGGGTTCTTAGGCATGGAGGGCCTCGTCTGGACCATTCGGTGTTGGCTGGGTGGAATTCTGTGTCAGATGCAGCGCAGCGGATTGGGATGGAGGCCGGGCTCGTTCAATGTGTGGCATGCCACCTGGGAGATGTCAACTTAGGGCCCCCTCACAGGAGAAAAGGAAGCAGGAGGCCTTTCACATGACGCAGCCCATGTTACCATGTTCCAGAGCAGCCTTGGAATGGGAATTGTATGCATTGAGCTCAGCCCGCGCAGTGCCAGCCAGGCGACAAGTGCCGCCATTAGAGGGCCCGAACTATGTGAAGCCCACACCGAAGAAGAAGAGCCAGTCAGTTCGATGCACAGAGAAAAGATTGCCTCTATTTTCGCAGCAGGGCAGCTGCTGCAACAGATGGCTGCAGCAGTGACAAGTGTGATAAAGGTTTTTGCGCATGTCTGTGAGTGGTGTCGTGTGAGTGGGTGTCGCCAGCCATGCAGGTCCATCGATTGACCTCACAACCAGGCTGGACGGAGGAGAAGGGCGCGAAAGACAGAGGAAAGAGAGGGGCGTGGCAAGGGTGGTGGACCGCTCAAGAAGCAGAGTCGCATGTGATAGGATGGCCTTGACAAAACCTTCGCTGGGAGCCATAGCCGGCTAAGCTGCTGCGCAGGCAGGGCAGATAGTGGCGAATCCGGTGCAAGCATTGGATGCAACAGTTAATTTCCGACAGGCGCAAGCTTCGTGGAGTCGCAGGCCGTGGCTAGACAACCGTGCGCCAGCAGAGAAGCTGCCTCGTTAGACGGGTTCGGGCTGTACTGAGGCGACCAGTGTTGCCACATGGGGAACCCGCAACAGGCGCAATGCACGGTTCATGAAGGTGTCCAGGCCTCCTACACACAGACGTACAACAGACTATGCTGGCAAACGAGGTCAAGGGACCTCACATCTCACACAAACCGTGTGTGAGGCAAGTGCCGAGTTCAGCGCGGACCAGCAACATCCAGTGCCTAGCACAGCAATGCTGAGAGGGGACAGGGAGGGTGGGGGGAGAGAGAGAGAGAGAGAGAGAGAGAGACCCGATCTTAGGTCCTTGGCGGGCAGAGACGGAAGGCGAGGAAGAGACCCTTGAAGACGCCGAACGTGTACCCGCAGAGTCACTGCAACCTTTCCAGACAAATGTCCAAGGAAAGGAGAAGACAGCTCTGGATAAAACGGCCGCAGAGAAAGCGATAGTGCAGTATTTTGAGCAGCTGTTGAAGGGGGGCTGATGAGGTGGTGTTGCAGAAGGCCATGGAAGAGTTTCAGGCAGGCAAGTTTGCAGCACAGGCTTGACTCAAGCGGTGGCAGGACAGGGCCACCAACCTGGGGGATATCCTAGCAGAGCATACCTTTTCACATCGACTAACTTAGCTGGGGCAGTACAGATCAGCTGCGCAATACTTTGCGGGAAGAGAGAGAGAGAGAGAGAGACAGAGAGAGAGAGAGAGCGTGCGAACATGACCTCCGGGGTGGACTTTGGAGGTGGGGGCGCTTGTTAGTGTCCAAGACGATAGCAAAGGTGAAGCCCAAACTTTGTCCAGCGGCAGCTGCGACTCGCAGGAGGTAGCTTTCCTCCTCAGAAGACCTCAGTCCCATGCTGCATTGCGCGGATGTAGAACATTACAAGATCGCCAGTTGTCCTGTCGGCGGGGCAGCCATGTACTTCGACCATACCTTCGTGACGCCTGCTGGAAAGTGTTTGAGCAGTCGTTGTCGAGTTCTTTGACCACGGGCGAAGTGATGTAGTCTCTTGGCGCAGGAAAAGCAGGGACCGGAAGATGCTGGCAGGCGGCAGGCTTGCTGTCAGGTCTGTCAAGATGAACAAGAAGTGGACGGAGGATAGCCCGAAAGTCTTGCGTACGGCCAAAGACGCGTATGCCACAGGCTGCCTGGAGGAGTAAACCAACTCCTACATCCAACTGGGCGATACTTGTGAGGTTACCAGGCCTTCAGTCAGCAGCCCCTTGCACGGAAGTCATGCCCAGCGCTTTGCGATCAAAGTAAGGGCTGAGGAAGGGTGGGGGTTCTAAGCTGTTGTTCGCTGGTACAAGCTCACTGAGACGCCTTCAGCTGACTCCCATATGCAGCGGGTTTGTACTGTATAATATTAGTATAATATGCAAACGCATCTATTTATAGATCCGCGTGTACACACTGGAACCTTGGGTGGACGTGGCCGAGGTGAAGGAGTCACATATGCCTCAAGGCAAGATAATGTTGTGGTCAGACGTGCTTGTCGGCGTTGTCCTGCATCCGCTGTCAGGTGTTCAGAGCCCAGATTTTGCAGAGGTTGTTGCCCTCAAAGACAAGGGCGATGAGGCGACAGCCACTGAAGCCAAAACCAACAGATTCACCAAGACTAATCAGTCAGTTAGCCGACCAATTGTGACTGAGTGAGATGCAAGCTGGTGCCATTCCTCCGCAGCACGCGTAGGATCCAAAACAAGGTTGATTACTTGTCAGTGAAGGCCATACAAACACATGTCCACCGGTTGTTCCATACATACGCACATACAAACATCCACAAATACATACGCTCACTCATGTATGTTTCCATACCTCCATACCTTCATACACCCATTCTTACACGCGGACATCCATACATACATACATACACGTGCAAATTCACACATACATACATGCGCGCATACATACACACACATACACATACATACGGGCATACATACAGACATACATCCATACATCCTCACATACAGAGCCATCCATAGAAACATACACGCGTACATGCCTACGTACACACATACATACCAACTTGCTTACTTACCTACTTGCTTATCTACTTACTTACTTGCTTACTTCCTTAATTCCTTCCATCCATCCTTACTTCCTTCCTTACTTACCTGCTTACTTACTTGCTTTATTTTACTTTTCTTTACTCTTCTTGTTTTAATTACTTACATACAGACAGAAAGACAGGCATACATACATACATACTTACTCACTTACTTACTGACTTACTGACTGACTGACTTACTTACTTACTTACACAGAAGTTTTGTGTTTGCCCATTTTAGCAGCACGATGCCAGAACTGCAGCCCTTGAGAGTGCCAGTGAAAGACCGATGGTGTCGAAACAACATGAGGGCTTCGAGGAGTGTTGCCGGCTGTGAAATTGTCATATCATTAATGCGGGGTAGGCCGGGTAGGCCGTAGCAGTTGCTTAAGTATAGCCAAATAAGTAAGTAGGTATGTATGTAAGTAAGTACGTATGCAACTAAGTAACCAGCTAGAGAAACTGGTAACTAGGAAACTATTAGTTGCAAACAATGAAAGGCTGACCACCTGTGCTTTTCACATTGCTGACGCCATGCATTCGAGGATTTGCTGCAGCTCTTCGCAGCAGCCCTCCCGGACTCAAGCAAGGATCCTGCTGCAGAATATTTTCAATCAGTCACAAGAGTCACAAGAGTTTGGACCACTGTTCCTGCTTTGACCGAAAGCAGCATTTCACAGGTTTCTTCAAGACTGTTGTGTTAAGCACATATACCTCTAGATATATTGCCAGGGAATTTCTCGAGGTGCAGTGTTGACCCAGACTATGGACACAAAATTTGTGAATGCCCGAGACCTCATCCTTTTTGAGCAGCACAACAAAACTGACGAAGTCAGCCAGGCGGATTCAGGGTTGCCAAACACAAACAGCAAAGCTCCGAGTGACTGAAACAGCGGACGGATCAACCTTGCCCCTGCACCCCTTCATGTTCGCAATAAAGGAGCAAAGCGGAGACGTTCAACAACTTCTGAAAAGTTTGCGAGAGTTCCTCCGAAATATTGAAGATGGAGACGAAGCTGCTTGCGTTCTCGCAGGCTTGGTGGTTCGTCAGAGACATGCCACACAGGTTCAAAGTGTGACAACAAGTAGCAACATCGAGTGGGCGTTTACTAAGTGGTGCCATGATTGAGAGTCTGAGTGCAATCTAGTGCTCATCATTTTCTTATTGAGGAAACTTGCATGAGTTTGAGTGTTTGTTGGGTTTTCTGCTCCTTCATGAAGAAATACGAGTTTACTCGCAGCGTATTTTGACTGGCGGTTCACACTGAAGCAAATCCTGCAAAATTCCTTAAACTTAGACATAAACTCACACGCCATTTGCGCCTTGCCGCTAGCACGAGAACTTCTGATAGCCACTTGAGGTGTCAAACTGCGCAAACCATCCCAAGATTCGAAGGGCATAGCACACAGTTTGGTCCCAAGGGCTGAAAAGCTGTTTGCCACAAGTAATCCAACGTGCGCAGGGCAACCTGCAAAGCACAAAAGCTTATTCTAATCACAGCCCGTTTCCGTCGCCATACTTCAGAAAGCCGCCTGCCACTTGCAACCTGAAACTATGCCACATCAACAACTCTCGCAAACCAGCAAAAATGGGCAGGCTGGGAGCTTCGTGCAAAGCAAAAACCGGACAAATGCTCTGGACCTCTCAAGTCTTAAGTGCCACAATCTGATGCAAGCATGCAGCTCAAGAATCCAGGACCATCAGAGAGACTATGCACGAACCGTACCAACTTGCCTCTCGAGGTAAGGGTGGGAACCAAATCAATCATGATGGAGAAGAGAGTGTGTTCTAGCCTTCCCAGCGGACTAAAAGCCCCACCCGCCGCAATTTGTTGGGTTCTCGTCACTGTGAGAGACCAATTAGGCAGCTTCTTATCGTGAGCCAAAAGAGACTCACTTGTATTGCTTCTGCGGTTGATGATTCATTAAATGGGCGTGGTCGGCAGTTTAAAGGGCTGAGCCCCTCTGCTTGAGGCGCTCGCCACGCATTGCTAGCATGCCGCTTTTTGGCTGAAGTATGGTGTTTGTTCTCGAGGCAGCAACCTATTGAAGGATATGATTTTTTGTAATTGTAATCGACATGCAAGTGATTCCGTACTTGGGAATGTGAGGGAATTTGTATTCCATTGTTTGTCATTTGATGTCATTTGTTATGCTCAACATGGTGTGTTATTGTTTTTCCTTTCGGTCCCCGAGTGGTTTTTTGATTGCCAAGTCTCAGGTGGCGCTGGTAGGCCTTCAGTGAGCTCATACGCATGCAAAACGTCCTTTTCCATGGTTGCCCGGAGAGCACTGGGTTTTGTGATCAGTAAAAATATAACGATGGTTTTGGATAGCGGATAGCCCCAATGTAGTTCACAACAGCCTCAGCTGGTTCGCCTTTACTGTAGTTCCTTGTTAGCCCTTGGAGTTCGCCCCTCACGCAGCACATGTCAGCACACTTGGTGCGTCGCGTGTGTGTGTGTGTGTGTACGATCATGTGGATTGTAAGGTGAAGAAGATCTTGGCCCTACGGTGCTCAGACTACGCATCGGTTTCGACGCCATATCACGACAACGGCCTTTTTGCAAACGTATTGCAGGACGCTTGCTGTGGTTGACTGACAGATGAAAATCCGTGTGTGATCAGTTGTGAGCTGTGATAAACTCTTCAGATTGGGTGCAGGTCTGCGACGCGCTGTTGCTGACCAAACCAGGCCTCAGTATAGCTCCAATTTTTCCTGCGCAACGCACACACTGCCACAGGTTCATTGGTCAAAAGCATGTGCATTTGCTGTCATGCGGTTGTTTTCTCTTGAAGCAGAGGAGTCTAGACAATCATGAACATGTGCAACCATGTATGGAAGGTGTGCCTGTGCTGGTTGATTGGAGAAGAAAAGGATCTGAAGGCAGGCCTGCGCAAGACAACACGACATACTCATTCCTTTACTGAGTTGCTGTGAAGATCACTGGACTTGGTGGGCACGCCAACTTGGCAATGGCAAGCAAACTTTCAATTCTGTAAGCATGGCGTTACTAGGATGATAGGGAAGGTATTTCCGATCGATGTGAAAGAACTGGCCATGTGTCTCTCAATTTTGTGTTCTCGGAGAACGAGGCCACTTCCAGTACGGACCTGAGGGATTTGACTTGTGGAGCCATCTCTTCGAACCGAACAAGCGGTGTCGTAACTTGTCAGAAATCTACGTTTTGTTTAGTGGCTCCTTTAAACAGCTGAAGCAACAAGCCCTTGACGACTCACACTCAGGTTCTGCCGAAACATTGCAGTGCGAAGATGGCCTTACTATGCTCCGATCTCAAAAGATAGCATCAAATCTTGGGTCATTTGTCACGTTGCTCAAAAGTCCTGCTTGCCCAAAATATACGTCCTCCATTTGATTGGCATTGAGGCCTGGCCGGATCAATTGTCTTTTCATGAACATGCTGCGGGGCTACTTATGGTCCATGCCTGAACATGATCTCCAACACTTGCGCTTAAGCTATGCAGCAGCCATCAGTAGCTTGACAACACTCAGAGCCGAGCAGACCTGGTCCTGCGCAATGTGAAGTTTTTCCAGTCGGTGGCAGATGAGTAGCGTAGTGACGAGTGAGACGTAGTGAGACTTCCCAAGGTGAGCTTGAGCCAACAATGCACATCAAAAAGCAGCTGATGGGTATTTGCAGAGAGTGGACAGAGGAATGGCTAAACTGCACTAGAACGTTTCGGAATCTGGAAGATGTAGGACCTACACGACTGCTGTTTTGTCCAGATTGCCAGGATACCTACGTCCTAGGCGTGCACAGACGTCTTGCTTGCTCTGAGATGGTTGCTTGCCAGTTGTCGCAGCGCGCGCCTAGCAATGTGGAGTACATCTCCAGAGCAAGAAAGCTCTGTGCTGCCAGTGGCAAGAAGCAGAAGATTATTTTCCTGGCGACGGATGATAGTCAGGCCTTCGACTTGAAACAGAGCATGTTTGTTGTTTGGACCCACAGAAATGCAAGTAGCTGAATATCAGCATTCAATACCATCCTGAGTGCTCCTAATTTGTTGAGCCGTTTTAGTATCAAACCGTACGTGCGGTGGCCGAGTTTGGTACATTTGATCACTATACTACGAATATCTCCTTTGACCTGGGGTCCTCTTTCTTCATGGCTATTCCATGTTCTTGGAATGAAGACAGGCCATCAGAAGGTTTTTGGAAGAGTTGCTATTCAAGCATTTGAGCTGGTCTTGAGTTGTTTTTTTACTAAATGGATCCCAGATGATCCTGAATGCAGTCACCCGACCTTCAAAAGAGTTTCTCAACGGAAGGAGGTTCTGAGCCTGAGCTCAGGTTTCTATTGTTTGAATTCTGCGGGAAATCCAGGCACTCATCAAGAAGCACGATGTTTACCAAATCAAATCAGAGAACGGCTCACGCCAGTCCCGTACCTACAACATGACCTTTTCTGAACCGACACGAGTTGGACAACTGCAAGCTCGGAACGCTCGGAACACCTTCAGTTTCGAGAATCAGTCTACGCAGCACTGTCTAGGCTTAAGGGGTGTTCTTTTGGCACGAAGGACACGAATCCGGTTCCTTTGCTTGTCCACCAGCGACTTAAACGATCGGGGAGAGGTAGAGAAGACTATGGTCGCAGCACCTGCAGGTCAGTTCCCTGCATTGACAAAACACACATGAAAAGATCAAGCTCACGCCAACCTTTTCCTCTTGAAGTCTCTTGAACACATTTGTCAGGCAGTGATCGACTTCGAAATGGCCTTCGCGAACAGCAGTGTGAAACTTTGCTGCCGGGATGGTGTGAAGCGCTCTGTCGGAGGTGTCCGTGAAGATGGCGTGGACAATGAGGTTGCTAACAGTGGTCAAGCAAAGTCAAAGATAGCGCAGTTGAGGATTGTTGCATATTGTTGCCTTAAAACTTGACTGTGCTGCTTTGCACGTCATTTTGACAAGATGCGTTGACAAGATTGTTTATCGCAATTTCTATTGCAAGGTGCACCGAAACCCCTGTGCAGAAGCAGATGCAGAGGATGCTCTAGTTGATGCGCTTTGCTTGGCAAAATGTGAAGAGCTGATTTGCGTTGACTCCAATCTCTCAATCTTCGCAGCGCTGAAGAATCCCAGATTGCGTTTGCATGCCCTGAGCAGCATTCTTCCCGAGGCTGTTGAAACAATTCACTTTTCTAAAGTGTGTTTTTGATTGCCACAATTATATATATATATACGTACATGCATCGGCAACATGTGGCCACACCAAACTAATGATCAACCTGACTGCAGGGATGGGAGGAAGATGCGGCCCAGCCTGAAGAACCGGTTCATGAGTCATACGAGGTAGTCTTTGCACCAATGGTCTTTGTTCGGAAGGCAAGCTATCGTCATGTGTTGCACACTTAAAGTTCTTCATCCAGCCTTGGTCTAATATAGTTATATAAGTTTCCCTAGAAATCTAGAAACCAAATCATTGGTGCGGGCGCTTCAAGAAGCATGAGCTATCCTGCGTCCTGTTGGTAGTAGCTACTTAAGCTACTGGCGGCACTAGCGACTCCCCAGCTACTACTAGCTACCTCTACGGCCTACCTCCTGGGCAAAATAGAGGAGCTTTCTATTTTGAGTTTGCCACTTGCAATGATACTACAGGGCCCAAGCACCGCTACCGAGCTTCTTGGCGCCCGGAAGATGGGAGAGACTGTGCACTGCACAGGGCGTGGCTTTGATGGTTGGGTAGAGCTTCAATCAGGTGCGCCACGTTATATACATTGTGAGGGCTAGCAGGTTCGCACGACATGAGGGTTTTCATGTTCAGAAATCAGATGTTAGTGAGACTGCGGGAGGTGGCTGGATGCTGGTGGACGGAGCCCGAGGGGGCAAGCAGCGTCTTGGATATTTTTGGCATTTGAGATCATGTGGGTATATCACGAAAGCGAGCTCCAGGAGGAGGTTTGCAGAAGTTTTCGTTTACAAGGGGAGGCTCAGAATTGATCATTCCAAAGGACCGAATTGATATACCACTACTTTACGAAAGACCCCTTCCTCCTTTCACGAACTGATAGCGAAACTTGTTGGTCCCCACCCCACATTAGGACACACGCATCGCAAGCATCATATTTGAGTGATTTGAATTAGCTTAGTGACACAAGGTTGTTCCAGATTAGAATTCGGACATTTCCACACAAGTCTTATTGGTGACACTAGCGCGCTGAAGCATGACAGAGTACACCATCGCCTCCATTGATAGTAATTACTGTAATTCTGTTGCAGATGGTGGTTGAATGAGCAAAGTATTCTCTCGCTACCGCTCCCGCTTCTCAAGTAGTTAGTTTAGCTTGGAGTTCATACTTGCCTGATGAAACGAAAGTCCAATCATACTGCAGTGCAAGTTTTATTTTGCCAGTGTATTCCCTTTCAGCGCAATGGAGAAAGTGCAAACTCATATCAGGGAAGTAGCATTAATATGTAAATGTGTATGTGTGTATATATATATCAACTAGCACTGTTTAGCCTGAATACAATCCTAGAAAGAGGGTCCATTGTCTACGGGTAGTTGCCTCCAGCTGTCTCAGGTCAGGCTCCAACCAGAGCTGAATTGTGTGGGAAAAGCATGTAAGAGCGATGGCCTTCAACCTACTAGTGATGGCCTCCACCCTAAACGATGTAAGTGGGTTAGGCGCGTTTCTCCTGTTGATCAGGAATGCTGCAGCAGGGCTGCTTCTGAAGCCTGTTGGGCGCGTCCTTGCGGGGCAGAGCGGTGAAAAAGGTCTCTCAGACGACAGAAAATACAGACATTAACTCCAAAAAACAACGCAAATTAGTTTTTCACTTCGTTAGCTTTTCTTAATCTCCGACATTCTTAGACAAATCCGTGCGGATGTCAAAAGGAGGTTTGTCCCAAACTGGAAGGCCTGCAATAAGCAAAAGTTCGACGAAGCAATTGAGGCCATTGCTTTGACCCTTAAATTTGGATGGTTTGAGTGCCTGATTTCTAGAACGGCTTGTTTCAGGCCTGGAAGTCAGCAGCTTCAACTGCCCGTCAGCTGGCAGGTAAAAAGGCTCTTTCAAGCAGTTGAGTCTCTCATGAGCTTTTTTTGTTGCCTTCCCATTCACATGGTGCAAACTCACTGTAGGCTAAAGACCTCTGGGTGACTTTGATGTGCGAGGCCGACTTGAAGTGGGTCTTGTGTCTCACTGATTGTATCCTCTCGACTGCTCATGTAACATTGTTTGAAAGATGTAGCTGGAGCTTTGTCTGCCACGAACACAACAGACTATGTCACTGCTTTGGTGTTCTAATGTAAGGGGCAGGTGCCGGTATTGAAATCGCCAACCTCCACGAACACCGATCATGATGCTTTGGTCTTGACCACACCAAACATACCCAGAGGTATGGCTTTGACCCGTGTCTATCATCAATCGCCTGCTTGCTTGCAGGCTGCATCTTTGGAGAAGAATAATAGTTTGCATGCTTCTGAGGCGCCGACAAAATTGTGGTGAAGGATGTTCCCGGCAGACAGTGTTTTCCATGCAAAAGCGGGACTTGCAATGATTCTGCAGGTTCGAAAGGTGTCTTCCTTGTATGACTAATTTAGAAGATCTGTGACTGAAGGCAACCACCTCGCTGGTGCTGCAGGAGGTTGGGGTAAAGGGGATCGGGATCTGCCAACACATCAGCAAATACTCATCCTTGCAAGGTTGCTGTTGCAGTTTCAAACCCTATTGAATTTGCTTATATTAGCACAAAGTCCAGGTTTGACGGAGGTATGTTTGTATCGGCTGTGACTTGACACTTGTTCAGTACATGTGCGAGAGCTGCCCCAGTTCCATTCAGGGCTTTCTTTCAATCCAAATGCAGGTGCCTGAACATTTGCCGGCACTGCGTTGTCGTGGCCTTGTTCGGGAACAGCTGGGCGATTTGCACGGCTCGAGGCGCACATGAAGCACGTGGTGATACACCAACACATTGTTTGGTGCATTGACAGATTTGTTTGCTGCCTTCAGCCGTAAAGGTTTAGTTTTCTTGATGAAGTTGCCTGCTTTGCAAGGCAAGACCTGTCCCGGGCTGCTGCACAGAACTTTATGGATTTGGAAGTTCAGGACACCGGCTGCATAAGCATTACCCGTGTATCTAACTCGAAAGACCTAGACGAAGAAAGTATACTACCAAGTGCTGCTGTGCCTGCTCCTTTGCCTGCCTCAATACGGGTGTGTGGTTCTATTTCCGTGTTCCATTCAGACTTGCCAACAGTTTTATACACTACCTCTCTCTCTCTCTCTTTCTTTACTGTGTCTCCCTATAGCCTATATACAGTAGTTCAATGTTCTTGCTCTTGAGACTTGATTGTGTTGGATTTCGAGCGAATGGCCCACGACATGCTGGTACATTTATGTTTTGGTGGCGGAACAACAAGTTGCAGACGTTCACCTGCTAGCTTTCTGGTTGCCAGAGCCAAATTATTTGCAAGAACAGGTGTTTCCTGCACTGCTCGATTAAGGATGCCCTGGCACGCGTGGAACTGCGGTTGGAAGATGCAAAACAGGAGCTTCTTGGAACAGACAGAGGTCACCAACATGATGCCACTGAATCCTCGCAACACACGCTCCGTTGTCTTACACATGATTGAGAACGCAGCTTGCATGCTGGCATGCTGATTGACAGTGGTTTGGTGACTACTATGTGACTATGTAGTCTGACACGGACAAACTGTTTTGAGCTGTTTGCTGCGACGTCAGATTTGCCTCGATTTCCCACTGAACGTTGAGCGAACAGGCAAGAGCAAAATAGCTAATTCCAGTCCTTGGCAACACAGCAGGAAATGCTCCAAAGATTCAGAAAGCACCTTTCTTGAAGCCTCATAGCCTTGTGGAGCCCGTGATATGCGGCAGCCATGGCCAGGCAGGGCATTGTAGTCAAGCTGAACCTTTGATACAAAGTGAAGCTCGGTAACATTTTCTACCCGATTTAACATTTACAGTAACATTTGGGTCAAAGGATAGGCGATCTGGAAACACGTGTTCATAGGGTGGCAGGACCTTGAATCAACCAAAGTTGGTGGTAGCCTTGGCAGAAAGGCCAAACAAAGAACGCAAGACAGTCAGTATGCCAATACAATCAAACCAGAACTCGCGCTAAATACTTTGAACTACCTTGAACATCCTGGAACCAAAGTAGGCTTGAGGCAGCCTGTGGCCTTTAGTCCAGCTTGAATCTTACTTTCACTGTCATGAAGACTCGTGATAGATCACGGGGAATGTCACGAAACGTCCGTGAGA